CATTGATCTATTACAAGTACTGTAGATTCATTTATTTTCGTTGGTACCAATTTTCGTGGATTAAGGAAAACTTGCATTTTCGTGGATCTTTAATTGCATGGTTTTTCTAAAGTCTGCATACATTCCTATAGAAAATTTGTAATTCTGTTGAACAATTGAATTCGTGGTTCACCTTTATCCACGAAATCCAAGAAAATTGGTATCCCACGAATAATAATCAATCCACAGTAGTTCCTATCAAACTAACTTAAGCAGAAAACTTAACAATTGTTGAGGCTGTCGCCGTCACCTGAAATGCAATCCCTATGTTTCGCTTTCCGCGACAGGTGAGACAAAAACCGAAATATGGGAAACCTAAAAAAAACTCTTGATCCAGTTGTTTGTATTCATTGTAATGTCCATACTGATGTAGCTTGTGGATAAGTAGACTATAGATGTCCTAGTCAAATGTCTTGATGAGGCAGTCCAGCAGCAGTTGCTGTTTTATCCTGACCAGGCATGTTGCATGTCTGGGTTTGTGTTTTATTTAGGTCTTTTTACCTGAGATTGCTTTTTTAAACTCTGCATTTATGATAAAAGCTTTGTCTGATGAATCGTCTTGTAGTAATCCTGCTATTCTTATAATTATGATATATTACTCCCATCTGATCGCTTATGCTTCATATAGGTCCAAATTGTTTCATGCAGTCAGTACTGCTGTCACAGTGTCAGCTTCACTACTTAATAATTACTGTTACTATGTCATCTATGTATTTCCAAAAACTGCTTTCTTAATTTCTCACTGGGTTTTGCTCTTCAGTTCTATTTATGTAGTAGCATCTCTTTTATTCCCAGATTTCTTATTCTTTTTGTATGCTCTATTCTATCTTTTGATTAGTCTTCTTATATCTGCTTCCCCAAGGGTGACTGGGGAATAGAAATATGGTCACTCTTGTTCTTCTTCCAACTAGCTGTTAAACCGTTGCCAAAGTGGGGCGTCCGTTTTGGCTGTGCTGGATGTATAAATACGCAACAATGTCTGGTCAGAATGGGGACGTTAAATCCGATGCCTCATGTAGAGAGAGTGCCAAGCTCTCTGCATGTTAAGAACCCTTGCAACAAATCTTTGAGGGGTCCGTAGGTGACCTGATACAAGGAAAAGTTGTCCCTTTCCAACATATCCTCATTTTCCAGAGGCAGTCCAAATTTTCCGACCTTCATCCTGTATGGCCCTATTATAGGACCTACCTATTGTATTTATTCTTAATTTGTTCTCATCCTGAACATGCATGAAATATTTGCCACTGGACTTAAAGTAACTAACAATCAATCAATCAATCTTATATCTGCTGTCATCAAGGGCATCCATTTTTTTCAGGATCAGCATTAGTAGTTGAAAGCGATGCTAGTGGACTATCAGTCCCCGGGTATATCACTTGTTCAGTAGCCACTACTTAGGTACTTGGGTTAAAATACGAATATATTTTTTATTGCTGATATAAAATTTTAGAAATCATTTAAATAAAGAAATGTATATCCCTAATGCAAAGCTCTGATTCCTTGTTCGGATTCGGGTATACTTTAGGTCCTTTATGGTTTTATCAGGTCTACAACGTTTGTAATAGGTTTCAAATTTTCAAGATTTTTGGCCTCATACATGAAAAGACATCTGACGGATATTGAAATGCGCATTTTGTGCAATAACATGTGTAAGGTTAATGCTATGTTGACCAACTTCAGTACTGGCATCCGAAAACAGATATTGTTTGATTGAAATTTGCTGTTATGAAATTTTGATAATCATTTTGCATTAAGGAAAATATATCCCTCATGCAAGGCTACGATTCCATGTCCAAAATTTGGTTTTCCTTCATCTCCTTTTCTGTTTTATCAGCTCTTTAACGTTTGTATTGGACTTGGATTTTCAAAAATTTTGGCTTTGACCAAGAGACAATAATTGTCAAAATGCGCATCTAGTGAAGTACAACTGGTACGGTAACTGTCATTTCTACCACAGTGTCGATACCTCTGCTGGTGGACTGTTAGTCACCAAGGGTAGTACCAGCCACGTAGCCAGTATGTTGTTACTGGCATGCAAATACGGAAATTGTTTGATTGAAATTTGCTGTTATAAAATATTGAAAAACATTTAAAGTAAGGAATATATCTCCCACATTTTGATTTTTTATTCCTTATCCAGATTTGGCCATATTTAGGTCCTTTTTGGTTTTGTAAGCTCTTCAATGTTTGTATTTGGGTTTGGATTTTCAAATATGGCCTCGGGCATCACTGAAGAGACATAATATGAGTTGTCAAATACGGATGCAGGAAAATTGGTACCGTTAATCGTAGAACTACCACCGGGTCGATAGATCTGTTAGTGAACTGTAAGTCCCAGAGTCAATCAATATCTGTTTTTGCATGTTTACACCAAGAAATTAGCAGAAAACAATTTTACCTATTTCTACTTCCACCGTATTGGGATTGTGGTAACTGCAGTTACCACAACCAGTTTAACACCAGTGAATATCGATTGATTGATTGTTGGTTGCTTAACGTCTAGTGGCATATATTTCATGCATGTTCAGGAGAATACTCCTACCAATATGGAAAATTTCTCCGGTAATTTCCCCTTTCTGACAATATTGGCCAATCAGAGAGCATGATTCTGTTGTTGACAAATATTTTGATGAACCAATTGGATTAGACCCGGCTATTTTAGGAAAACTATTTGAGACAAAGCAATAAATTCCTTAGATCACCTTAAAACATAAATATCATGGATTTTCAAAAACCCTGAACCAAAGTGAAAGAAAGGAAGATTAAAAAATATATATCGATAAATTTAAACCATCAGCATTACTTTATTTCATACAAGAGCCACATCATTATCAATCCCAAGATATTGCACAGGGCCTGGGGAAAGTTGTTTTATTCAGTCTTTTAAATAGAAAAAGAGCATACATAACGTTCTAAAATAACATTTTCAAGCCCCTGTGATTTAAGATAGCATGGAAGCTTACTTTGGAAGTTTTTCAGTAAAATTATCAGAAAAATTGAAAGCTGAATTTTACAAAATTTTATTTCCATAAATAGAAGTTTCGAAATTTCTTGAGCAAGTAAAAAATTTGGACAAGTGGTTTTCTTTTTGGGTCAGGTAATATATTTTGGTCACTTGGCTGAAAGGCAAGTTGTTACAGAAGTTACCTGTAATGTCAAACCCTGCTATGGCCCTGCAAGTTTATGTTTAAATATCAGGCTAATGATCGTTAATCAGACATCTGATAGGAGAATAAGTTTTATATAGTTCAGAGTATTTACTTCATTATTTAAAAACTGTTCATCGAAGGCTTAGTCTAATTATCAACAGTTTAGATTCAACAAGAGTGCACAATCTGAAATGTCTTACCAGCTTTACTTATCTTGATTGAATTTATATTGAAAGTCTTTAAGATAAATGTTAAATACAAGTATCATATATACAAAACATTACCAATTATCCATATAAATAAGGTCAATGCCAGATATACTCTGCCAGACAGACTTGTACACCTTACAATTATTCCATATATAGTTGACCAACTGCTTATAGTAACTGATCAGAAACAGACTAAAGCATGAAGATTTTAGACTGAACAATAAACCATTAAAATAAGGTCAAGGTCAGATGAACCCTATCAGAAAGACATCATGAACCTTGCAATCATGTAATACACCAAATATAATAGATCAATGAATTCCATCCAAATTGTTATTATATAAATGATCTATATGCTAATTGCCCAAAATTTCTTACCAAATACTGGTATGGTGTTTGACATAACTTTCTCCTATTCACTAAGATGTTTAACAAATGAAAATTACAGAAACTCAATAGCGCAGGCACTGAAATGTCTCGCCTGCTTTACTGACCATAATTGATTTTATGCTTATAGTCATAAAGGTAAAGTTTTACTACCAGTATCAAATAAACTTAACATTATCAATGATCCATGACGAGGTCAAGGTCAGATTAACCAAGCAAGACAGACATGTACACCTTACATTCATTCCATACACCAAATATAGTTGACCTATTCCTAAGACTGTAAATTCAGAAATTAATGGGTGCATTTAATATTAAGAATCACTCTTTAATGGTAAAAATGTAAGATCTAATTAAGGGGATTGCAAAATTTTTGTAAAAAGAAAATCACTTCTGAAACTATGATTGCAAGTTTTTATTATTACGAGCCTGAAATTGTCACATTTTTTGCATGAATAAAAACATCTTGATAATTTCTGAATTATCAGTAGTATACAAAAATTCAGTTGCAGATATAAAAGTGGGACAGGAGGAATAACAAATGAATGAACAGTTTGACAGATGGATGGTCACCCATCACTATAAATCGCCTGTAATTGAGGGGTACCATAATCGGCCTTGTAAAGTCCACAAACCCATTTTGCCACCGGGAATTCAGGAAAAAAACTTTTTTATACACTTGTTGAAAACATCTATGGGAACCCCATTAATTTCAAAGCATGTGTGATCAATTGCAGTATTTTCATGGAAAACGCTGTTTTTCATCATCAATTAGAAGTTGAAAATGCTTGTAACTGATTCTAGAACACTTCACGAGTGTTGAAATAGGCCAAAATCACATGAAAAACAATTGTAAAAGTCAGAGTTGACATTACCGGACATATCGGAATAGAACATGTAAATTGCAAATAAATACGGCAACAATTCTATCTTCAGTGCAGTATTTCCAAATTCTTTCAACTCATAGGACTACATAAGGACTACATAAGAACATCTCGAACTTGCATTTTTTCCCAATGTCATAGATTAAATTCTACAGAAACAGAAACAAAGCTCTATACTGTCAGTGAATTTTGACTGTTCAATAGCACAGTTGAAGGGTAAAAGAAATTATGTTGATATCCTGTCAACGATAAAGTCATGCCATATTTCTTGTCAGATGGAAGACAGACAAAAGTGTCAATGCATTATGCCATCTAAAATGGGATATAATTACCTCTAGATAAGTATTCTGAAGGTACCCACAACTTTCTGAAAAATCCAATTTTAGTCATTTCTTCTCCACTTTGGTAAAAATATTCAAAAGTACTGCTATTACTTGTTCCTCCATGATATACACGATAGTTGTACCAAAATGTTTGACTTGAATATCCTTTAAGCATATACTTTGGAAATCCAACTGTTACTGTACCTAGTGTGTATCCATCTGATCTAGGGCTGCAAACAAGTAAATAACTTTATAATAATAAATAAACTGTTGATACAGATATATGTCTCAATATTGTGATTTTGATAGTAAAATGCAAATATTGAAATTAAAATGGCAATATTTATACATGTTAACTATGTTAAACATTCAACCATGACTGTAGATGCAAGGCCAAATAACCTTCATGGAAATGACAAATGCCAATGCTTATACAACTGCATACCAACTATCATTGACTTAATATAAGAGGTCCATCTTAAACTGATCTACTCATAAACTTTAAAATTTAAACTATGCAACTCAAAACTATACCTCAAAATCAAGAAAGGAAAACTCAATTTATCATCCAAAAACCATTTCCCAAATATTTTTTTTTAAGTAACCCTGCTCTTTGACCTAGTGATCCCCAAATATCCCTATATTTCCAATAAAGCAAGAGAAACTGGAGGGCCATCCTTAAACCATAAACCCATTTTTTTTCTATTTTAGTAACAGTGACCTTGATCTTTGACTATTTGACCCAAAATCAGTAAGTGTCATTTTATTTGGACACCTGGATGGACATACAGACAGACAGACTTTAACGCCCATTATTCAATCATTCTAGGACTATAACTCCTGATTTTTAAAAGTGAAAATCTTCATTGATAAGGATCTTGACTTCCCTCATCAGAAACAACATATTAAAATTTGAAAAAGATTGGTTCAACCTTTCAGAAGTTATTTCACAGAATCTACAAAAAAGCCAATTTTTCAATAAATCAAGGACCATAACTCCTTAACAGCAAAAGCAAAAATCATCAATAATGAATATCAAACTTGTTGACCTATATTTTGTCACTGAAAACAACATATTAAATTCTAACAATCTGTTTGAGCCCAACAAACAAACAAAAGCACCCATTTTACTCCAAAATATAAATGCTATTTTCCACTGAAAAACCAGTTAAAGATTTATTCTATAATAGTTATTAGTTTCTAATTTTTAGTATTTATTAATACCTTTCCAGTTTTAACTTGTATCTTTTACTATTCCATCCACCTCCATATTTCTCAAATGCCAATACCACATAGTCTTTTTGAGGGTCCATTATTGTTGGTGAAATAACAGCATGGAAACATACATCTATAAAGTTATTTGATCCTGGCTTGTTTTCTGCTGATTTCGCAGGCTCGTTCTTACTGAAAAAAGTAAGGATTCTTACTTGTTACTACACCAATGATTTTAGACATAAAGGCCATCTAGGGGACACACAAATTTTAAGAGTATAGCATTCTCATCAAACAATAAATTTTATATGAAATTGACCCAAACAGGAAAGACATTAGGTTAAAAGTAACAGAAGATGACCACAAACAATTTGGAATTTTTTTTTTCATAGGCTGTATGAAATTTTTTTGTCCATTTGGATATCAAAAGCAGGGTTACCTGAAAAATAAGGACAAAACCAATATCTTTGTCTTTCAAATTGGACTACTTCGAGGGTGGTACACATGTTATTTCATGCAAGGTTATTGCCATTTTTTTCACATGCTTTCCTGCTTAAGATCATGTTTCATGAAAAATTGGTAAAAAGCAGCATATAGTTTTTTTTACATTTTTTGGTTTATCTGAACTTACCATTTATGTCCTATTTGTAAATGCACATACCCCTACACCTTCCCTTTTTCAAACTGATATGACGATGACATGCATGATATGTTTAAAACATCCAAGAAAAAAATACAGCAATAACACATAATTCTATATCAAAATTCTGTGTACAAATTTTTTGAGAAAACACAATTTAAAGTGAACAAGAATGTGTCCATAGTACACGGATGCCCCACTCGCACTATCATTTTCTATGTTCAGTGGACCGTGAAATTGGGGTCAAAACTCTAATTTGGCATTAAAATTAGAAAGATCATATCATAGGCAACATGTGCACTAAGTTTCAAGTTGATTGGACTTCAACTTCATCAAAAACTACCTTGACCAAAAACTTTAACCTGAAGCGGGACAGACCGACGGACGAACAAACGAACGGACTCACAGACCTAAAAACATAATGCCCCTAGGTGGGGCATAAAAATGCATAGTTTTTGTCACTTTTCACAAACATTCTATTAATAAACCTTCTTCACAAATTTAAAATTGATTGTATCTCTGGAAATATGAATGCTACATATATATATATTTTTTTCAATATTCAGATGGAGTTCAATGAGTTCTAAATGCTTACAAAATTTCATCAAAATCTGAAATATCACCCAATTAAATGAACATTGCCTTAATTTTGATCAGAGTGTCACTGGTGAGTCTTATGTAGACGAAACGCGCGTCTGGCATATTAAATTATAATCCTGGTACCTTTGATAACTATTAATTGAACTGTTAAATATTCAATTGCCTTACCTTGAAGCAGCTGCATCTGCAAAAGTCTTTCTTCCTTCTTCTCTCTGAAATGAAAAGAACTCTTCAACTAGAAATAATGTGTACAAACATGCTGCCATGCTTATGTTCCCAAGAATATTTCATTAACCAATCTGTCTAGGATTAAATCTACTCACTTTATCAGATGTGTTAAATTCTAAGAAAATGTCAAGAAAAATATCCCTGAATAAAAATATGTTTACACCTGTTGCTATATGAAATAAAAAAATCTGAAAAAAAATGATGTTCAAATTTACATATAATTTGAAAGTTGCCTACTTGTTTGCTCAAGTAGAAATAAAAATACAGAATGAAAATCACAGCAAAACTACAACTGATTTCTTTATACTGAGCACAATCTCTTTTGAATTAATCAACAAATTGTCTAGACTCAAAGGAGGGGAAGGTGTACAGCTTAAGATATGGTATATAAACTTCTCCATTCTTGACAATTGTATGTTGACATTGAGATGGCTTTTGTTGTCTAGTGCTATTGTTTGCTGTCTTCTCTCAACAAATGTTTGACATTTTAACTTGATCTCCCCTTAATCATATTCATTGAGAATTCTGTATAAAAGAAATTTATCTGTATGCTTTTGTAATATTTACTGAATTAATTAGCCCATAATACAAGAATAAAGAATTTAAGCATCAAATAACCAACCTTATTGCCAGGAGTTTTACTTCCTCCAGGAGTTTCTGCCACACTTGTGTTGTTGTGTGTTTCAGTAGTATTGGAACCATTGTTATCTGTTTCCAAATTTTCAGACAAATTTTCATTTTGGTTTTTATTGTCTTTAGTTTTCTGTTTTCTTTTATTACTTTCTTCTTTTCTTTCTTTCTTCTTATCCTCTTTTTTCTTTTTGTTCTTTTTTCCTCTTTTCCTTTTCTTGTATGCTTGTACTCTCTGTACCTCCTCTTCAGAACTATCACTTTCAGATGTATCTGCACTATCCTCATCTTGTGTCGTTTTGTTATCTTGGCTACCTGCTGTATTCTCCTTATTACCAGTATCCCCGGAATTCCTGTTTTTTTCTTCAGTATCTTTACTTTGGTTCCTACCATTGGCTCCCCTCTGTCCATCATTACTTTGTGATTGCCCAATAGTCTGCTGTTGTTCATGGCTCTGTTGTTTTGATCCATCATTATTTTGCGTTGGTGTTTTATTACTTTGATCCTGTGCTTCATTATTCTGCATTAATTTTCCATTTTTTTCTGAATCAGTCCAATTATCTTTATGCTGATGCACATTATTTCCTTGAACTTGACCTTCCCTCAAAGACTTATTTTCTCCTGATTCAATAGTTTGACCTCTAGGAAAAATAAAAGAGCCCTGAAATCTATCTGAAGGTAACTCTGAGTTTGCACCTTCTTGAACATCCTCTTTTTTAAAGTCCTTCATTGCTCCACCAAATACAGGTTGCTGTTGTTCACTAACATTAGCATTTTTAGGTTGAACTGGTCCTGATGATTCTGTATTTGACTTGAATTTTTCTGTAAAAAATAATCAATTCCTGATAAAATGCAAATAGATATCTGTACAAAAAATTGCTAACAATTGTAGTTGCATGTTAGATGGACAAACCCCACATGAATAATTTCCCCCAAAAATGACAAAGTTCAACAGCCTGTCATTTGAGGAAAATTTAAAGAAAATCAAAATCCTGACAACTTCCACACTGTTATATGAACATAGTACTGAAAGAAAAATCAAACTCAAAATCCTGATAATACATAAACCTTTTGCATATATGTAACACTCCCAAACGTGTCCTTCCCCCCAAACATGTCCGATTCCCCCAAACGTGTCCATAAAATTCAATATTCCCCAAACGTGTCCGATTTCATAACCCTCAAACGTGTCCGATAATTGTTATTCACCAAAACGTGTCCACTGTTAAACGCCAGAACGTCTCACGTCTTTTAGCGCTAATACATGTATGTCATAAATGAAATCAATAACTTGTCCAGCAATTCTATGATTGGGAAAACAGTTGATGATGTAGTCATTTATTAGCATTAGTTTGTTCAATGCCGGTTGTTAATGATTATCATAATTGCAAATTTAATCTGTAACATATGAATTTAATTTTGTCCAGTTGCAAGTATTACATGTTCATTTAGAGCGAACATACAAAAAAGTCTAGTGCAGTTGAATTAATAGTTTACTTATGTAAATTATTTGTTACTAATAAACTCCGATTATGCCTTTAATATTAATCCGACGGCAGGCTTTCAACAGTATTGACTTCCCTTTTTTCAACAGTTCTGATATTCTAAAAGCTCTTCAAATCATAAACTGTTTATCAGCTGGTTTTTTTTAATAAATTTTAGGTTTCGAGCATCACTAAAGACACACAAACAAGAGACATGTAACGTCCAGTGCCAAATATTTCATGCATTATTTGAACGACATCATGTTAACAATAAATACTGTAGATAGGTTTTATTATCATACCGGGAATTTAGGATTGGGCCTAATTTTTTGACGGTTTTTCGGGATTAACACTAGTTTGGATTTTAATCTAAAAAAATTAAGAGCCAGTAGAGACCGATTTTTTTTATAATTTCAGTAAGAAACTACTTCAATCTCCGTTATGTAATAGAGACCGTTTTAAATAAAAATTGCAAATTTTTTTTTGAAATGTTGCCTTCCAAAATACAACTGATGTCACCATGAAAGAGTGATCGAATTGCTACAAAGATTTTAATGCGCAGAGAAAGTGACATTCTCCCTACACGGGTTATCTGATTTAATGTCTACAATTTAACTGAGCATGGTTCCTTACATTTACATCCAACATAACCGAACGAACGCCCCCCACTTTTTCCCAGGTTATACTATTGGTTTACCAAATGACCTAAAGTATTTTTTTTAATGAAATAGCAATAACCAAACAACGTACGTATTTATAATATGGACGCAAATGATAGTTCATTTAAAGAAAACAATTGAGGTTGATATGGACACGTTTGGGGGGTTGGACACGTTTGGGTGTTTATACAAATGACACGCTTTGGCGCCCTTTGACAACTAGACATGTTTTGCAGTTCAGTGACGTCATGTGGACACGTTTGGGGGAATCGGACACGTTTGGGGGGAAGGACACATTTCTGAGTATTACATATATGTATTAACACCCTGCATAATATAAAAGTTCTAGCTTAAAAACTGCAGGAAAAGTTAGCTGAACAAAGCAGTGTACCCTACATGAAATATTTGGAAGGAAGGACTGACAGACAAACAGGGGTAAACAACAATATGCCCCCAAAATTCTGTGTACAGTTTCTCTCTGATCTACTATAGCTTTTGCTCAAAACACAAAAATGGATAAAAATTGTCATTCAAGGGCAATAACTCTGAAGAGGAGTCAACTAACAATTTTGGCTATGCTGACGTGTTTTAAGATATTGTCTTGCTCATCATTTTTCCTGATAGCTTTCACCAAAATTGCAAAAAATTGGTAAAAGCATCATTAAAGGGCAATAACTCCTATAAGGAGTAGACTGATAATTTTGGCTATGTTGACCAATTTGTAAATCTTGTTTTTCTAACTATTTTTGCTGGTTAAATTTCATTATCTCGTATAGTCTAAATTGTGTAATTAATGCAAAAAATGTGTAAAAACCATCATATAAAGGGCAACAAAGAGTCAACTGACAATTTTGGCCGGTATTTGTAGCTCTTGTACTGCTGATCTTTTTTTTCTTTTTAAAATTTCTTTCTATCTATTATAGTTTTTAAGATAATAGGCTAGTAAGCAAAGTATGAGTTCAATAAATGTGGATTATAAGTGTCCACATGTGGACACAGATGATGCCCCCGCTTGCATATCATATAGTTATAAAGGGACATAACTGAAGAACAGTAAAAGTGACGCTACCCAAATTTGAACTTGATCTGAGTTTTGTGGTAATAAGCATTGTGTGTAAGTCTCATAACATTTGGTTGAGGCTAACTTAAGTAGAGAACAGAAACTAATAAACTGCTTTGCTGAGCGCAGCTGGATACACCCGCAGAGCTCCAACTCTGAACAGTTGGGGCAAAAATGGACACAATATTCAAGCTTGATACAGGTCTGAATTTTGATTGTAATTAAATATTTGACATATTATAGGTTTCTGAATAAATGCAGTCAAAGAACTTGAAATTTGTTATATGAATTGAATTTATATTTATATACTAATACTTAGTAAATCTGTTGTCAGACTATAAACAAATAAAGTTCAATTTCTGCTCAATGTCATATTTGAAATTTATGAAAATGAATAGGGAGATTACATCAATAGCTATAAATAATTCATCAAAGTTTCTGGAGAACTGCTGAAAGCATTTTTGAGTAATTGTCCAAAAACTGGAAAATCCCCTCTTTTTTAATGAATAAAAAACTGGAAAATCCCCCCTTTTTTAATGAATAAAACCCCATAACTCAGAAATGTAAAATCTAAAATTTATAGACGGTCAACGGTATACAATAATACGTCCCGTAAAAGGGCGTATAAAAATTCAGCAATTTTTCTATTTGTAAACACGCATAACTCTAGAACGGTTATGTATAAGTTTTATAACATTTGGTTGAGACAAACTAAAGTTAGAGAACGGAAACGAAAAATTCAGCAATTTTTAAGTTTATAAAGGGACATAACTCAAGAATGGTAAAAGTCTCGCCATCAAATTTTGTACTTAATCTGTATTATGTAGTAATAAGCATTGTGCATAAGTTTCATAACATTTGGTTGAGGCAAACTAAAGTTAGTAAACGGAAACAAAAATTTTGTACTTGATCTTAGTTTTGTGGTAATGAATATAGTGTATAGGTTTCATAATGTTTGGTTGGGGCAAAGTTAAGTTACAGAATGGAAACTAAACATTTTGCAATCTTTCGATTTATAAAGGGGCATAACTCAATAATGGTTAAAGTGACACTGCCCAATTCAACTTGATCTGTGTTTTATCAGTGGAAGTCAAAATTAAACATTGCATTGTATAAAGCATAGATTGTAGTTGATTCAACTATAATGATGGACAAAGGAAGATAACTCCAATTTTAAAAATTACTTGATATTAAGAAGAAAATAAAAATTTTGCAATTTTTCCATTTATAAAGGGGCATAACTCTAGAATGGTTAAAGTGACGCCACCAAAATTCAAACTTGATCTATGTTGTGGTAATAAGCATTGTGTATACGTTACATAACATTTGATTGGGGCAAACTCAAGTTAGAGAAACCAATTTTGGGACGTACGTACAGACGGACAAGGGTAAAACTTATGCCCCCACCGCTACGGCGGGGGCATAAAAGGATCATCGTTTAAGGGCACTAACTACTCTTCTTCTTCTACAGTTATACAACAAAACTTCAAGATACAGAAGATACTTGTCATTGCGCATGCATGGTATTTACCTAAAGTTATTTCTCTTGTAAATGCCAAAGAGTAATATATAAATTTAACAATATGTGCATGCATAATACAAATAAACTGCTTTGCTGAGCGCAGCTGGATACGCCCGCAGAGGTCCAACCCTGAACAGTTGGGGCAAAAATGGACACAATATTCAAGCTTGATACAGGTCTGAATTTGGATTGTATTAAATATTTGACATATTATAGGTTTCTGAATAAATGCAGTCAAAGAACTTGAAATTGTATATATGAATTGAATTGATATTCAATTAAAGATTTCTTACTGTTGTACAATACACTGTGCTGTTGTGCAATACTTAGTAAATCTGTTGTCAGACTATAAACAATTAAAGTTCAATTAATTCTCAATGTCATTTTAGAAATTAATGAAAATGTAAAGGGAGCTTACATCAATAGATATAAACAATTCACCAAAGTTTCATGAGAATTGCTGACAGCATTTTTGAATTATTGTCTGAAAACTGGAAAATCCCCCCTTTTTTAATGAATAAAACCCCATAACTCAGAAATGTAAAATCTAAAATTTATAAAATTCTAAAGGGAGCTTACATCAACAGATATAAACAATTCACCAAAGTTTCATGAGAACTGCTGAAAGCTTTTTTTAGTTATTGTCTGAAAACTGGAAAATCACCCTTTTTTTATGAATAAAACCCTGTAACTCAGAAACGTAAATTCTAAAATTTATAAAAATCAAAAGGGAGCTCATGTCAACAGATATAAACAATTCACCACAATTTCTTGCAAGTTGGTGAAAGCATTATTGAGTAATTGTCCGAAAACTGGAAAATCCCCTTTATTTTAATGAATAAAACCCCATAACTCGGAAACGTAAGATATTAAATTTATAAAAAATGAAAGGGAGCTCACATCAATAGATATAAACAATTCACCAAAATTTTATGCAAATTGGTTAAAGCTTTTTTGAGTTAATGTCCGACATGTTGACGACGGACAGACAGACGGACGGACAGAGGTATACCATAATACGTCCCGTAAACGGGCGTATAAAAAGTGATTAAAATTAACAGTATTTACAAAATTTAGTATCTGTTTTAAATCAGTTGACAGAGATCACCTGAAAGGAGTAGACTGACAATTTCAGCAAAATTTACTTATTTGTAGATCTTGTCTTACTCAGGTCATTTTTGCAATTGAAAGTTAATCTATTTCTATTATATTTTTCAAGATGATAAGCAAAAATGAAAAAAATGGACATGAATTTTCTTTTCAGGGCAATAACTCTCTATAAGGCATCCTTCAACAATTTTTGCCCAAATGGACAGAAGGTCGATCATGTCATTCTGGACATTTCTGCCCCATCAGATTTTCTTTATCCATATCAATTTCCAAGATAATAGACAAAACTTGCACTTTACCCCTATATTTTAGTTTTAACCATGTTTGCAATGTTGGTTTACAGGCTGGATCATTAGACATGTTTTTTTAAATAAATACCCACATAAAGATTGTTGCAAAGTTTGGTTCCAATTGGCCGAGGCAGTTGTTTCAGAGAAGATTTTTTTAAGTTCATGGAGGTTGAAGGATGACAACCACAGAAGAAAGACAAAAGATGAGGAAATGCCAAGTGATGGCAAAAGTTCACACAAGCCCTTTGGCCAGGTGAGATCAAAATGATGATTGAAATTGTAAAATATATACTGTAGACAGACTGACAAACTCTTCTTTGATTGATTGATTATTGGTTATCCAGTGGCAAATAGTTCATGCATGTTCAGGACGAGAACAAATACAATAGGTAGGTCCTGTAATAGGGAAATTTTGACCGCCACTGGAAAATGAGGATTTATTGGATAGGAACAGAAATTTTGCCTTGCAACGGGCCACCTAATGACCCCTCAAAGAATTGTTGCAAAGGTTCTTAACATGCAAAGATTGTGGAACTCTCTTGACACGAGGCATCAGATTTAGCAATCCCATTCTGACCAGACGTGACTGCGTACTTATACATCCTGCACAGCCAAACGAACGTCCCACTTTGGCAAGGGTTTTACTGCCAGTCAGAAGAAGACCAAGAGTTACCATATTTCTATTCCCCAGTCATCCTTGGGTCACTCTTCTTTAAAAAAGGTATAAAATATGCACACAAGAATTCAATCACACTTACTTGACGGTACCTCTGAATGTACAAACTCCAATGCATGCTTATTTACTGAATATAATTTACCAGACTGGTTGCCTGTCAAACTTTGTGTTAGATTGATTTTATTCTCCATCAACTGTGCTTCATTTTGTTGATTCTGAGAGGCTATATTACTGTCTGTTGATGCTAATCCTCCCGCCATATTTTCTTGACATGGTTGTGAACTGTCGGCTGATGCTTGTCCTCCCACCATATTTGCTGGATTTGGTTGTGAACTGTCTGCTGATGCTTGTCCTCCCACCATATTTGCTGGATTTTGTTGTGAACTGTCTGTTGATGCTTGTCCTCCCACCATATTTGCTGGATTTGGTTGTGAACTGTCTGCTGATGCTTGTCCTCCCACCATATTTGCTGGATTTGGTTGTGAACTGTCTGTTGATGCTTGTCCTCCCACCATATTTGCTGGATTTGGTTGTGCTCTGTCTGTTGACACTTGTCCTCCCACCATATTTGCTGGATTTGGTTGTGAACTGTCTGCTGATGCTTGTCCTCCCACCATATTTGCTGGATTTGGTTTTGAACTGTCTGTTGATGCTTGTCCTTCAACCATATTTGATGGATTTGGTTGTGCTCTGTCTGGTGGTGATTGAATGTCATTAATAGTATCTAATTTACTTACAGCCTCTTCAGTAATTTTAATACTCCCCTGAAGAGAAGCAGTGTCAGTAGGTCCTTGGATTGATCCATCATTGGCAACATTAACAGTGTGTTCATCATCTGAAATAATACAGTACTTCTTAATACATGTAATAGTATAAAATACTGTTATCCTAACAATAATAACTTGGGGAAAATGGAAAAAGGCTTAACTGAATTTGTAAAATCAGTTAACTGTTTAGTCTGTTTACGCTGTCTTGTATTAGGGTTAGAAAATTTAAATTTACCAATGTTTTATATATTGGTAGTGTCTTAGATATAGACAATACCCATCGCCTGGTCCAGATTTGTTTCATCACCATATTTTAACATGAGGGGTGTCACTAGTAGAGCTGGAACTGCAGATCCTTCAGGAGCATCTGAGTTGACCCTGGTTTTTGGTGGGTTAGTGTTGCTTAATCTTTTAGTTTCAGTGTAGTGTTTTGTGGACTGTTGTTCATTTTTTTGTCCAAAACAAGCATGTGTAGTCCATGTTTTATTGTACTAAGAACATGGCATTGTTTAAAAAGTGAAAGAAGCATGTCATATTATATAATGTCCAATATTACTTTAAAAAGTGATTATAATAATTTAATATTTAAAAATTAGTATAAAATTAAGGCCAACATAAAAAGTGTGTATACTATCACCTGACCTACCCAATATTCCTAATTCTTAACTCCCTCCCAAACTTCTTTGTCAATTTTCCAATAAGCACAATTAAAGTCATAGTGTCCCAAATATGGATGATATTTTAGTAAAAAAATTTCCCCATGTGACATATAACACATGTAAGTATAATTCTATTTGGACTCAAGCAGTGGGATATCCAGTGAATGAAAACAAAAGAAAATTCACTCTTCTTATGATAGAGTAGAGAAAGTCAATAATAAAACAATACCGGTGACGATACTGATCAAAAGTTATTTCTAAATAATAATTGTACATTTTAAAGAAATTATTTATTAAACTGTGTTATTAAATATATTCATGCAAATACACGATGTTTTATGTTCAGTGTTTATCGATATAATTGCTTTAGAAGCTTGTGAAACTGAAATTTAAAAACTGCCAATCTTTGCTGCATATTGATAAAAAAAATTGGAAAAAATGATGGGAGGTAACTCATGACACCAAATATTCTGACTTGTTTATGTCAGAGCTCTAATAGGCCATGGTGTCATCTGTTTTTCTTCTACCTATGGTTTTCTTGGTGTCTTCTACCCATTTTTTTCTACTGGTAATCATAATGCAAATAAAAACTAACCATCAGGCCATAATCAGTCAGACCTCTGACATAAACAAGTAGGATTGTCAAGACTTGTGCAAGTCTGTTAACTCATTTTTAAAAAGGATTAACAGCATTTCTAGACTCAACAATTAAAGTCAGAATGTGCCCATCTTATTCGGGTCAGATTCTGTTCAGTTGATTGTGAAATCTCAATACCTTAACATTTGTAGCAAACCATAATTCAATAAATGACAAGGACTATTTGTCATAAGATGCTTTACAATATCAAAATATCTTTACATGCTGCTTTTCACATAAATCTATTACTTACACAAAATATTTTTCATATGTTATCACAAATACATACTAATATACATAAAATGGTTAATTTCATATGATTCCATTTTTTTATGGTTTTATTCATATTTTTTGTTGATAAATGTGTTTGTAGAAGACATTTTTAATATTGTATTGTGGATGCTTAACTTTTAGATATGGGTGCATGACCCAAAAATGTAGGAATTTTAGGTATATTTTTGACTTGTAGAAGTCAAAATTTTAAATGTTTTTGTTTTTAGGAAAAAATGGCATGATATCTCATCTGACTTGTAGAAGTCAGTTTTTGTTTAAAAATGATGGGAGGTAACTCATGACACCAAATATTCTGACTTGTTTATGTCAGAGTAAAGAGTGATCCAGTAAAGGGCTACAAAACTCACACATGTGTTTCAAAATTACAAGGTAAAACTCAAAGTCATGGAGGTACCAGGGTAGATGAAGCAAGTTAAATGTAAAAGTGCAGTACCTTTTTTCACTGGTGGGGAACATTCTGGACAGATATTCACTGCTGTTGTTAACTCTGTCCCACACTGTGTTCCATCACTCTTCAGTTTTTGGCAAATACTAACTGCAGTCTTTAAATAAATACTGACATCTATTTTTGAACCACATTCTCCACAGAATTTCTGTCCCTGATTGACCTCACTTCCACAATTAGGACAGGAATACATTTTCACATGAATTTTAGGAGTCAGTTACTTTCCTTTCATATGAATCTAGAAAACATAAACATACTGTTAATGTAACTTGCCTTATTCTTTATTCTTCACATTTGTAGCTTGTGGTCCTCAATATTACAAGTAATTTCAAAACTAAAATCTACGTGTTTATAAATCTTTTTACAATTTTTCAATCACAGTTTTAAAAAATACAAACTCGTGATGGGCTGACAAAATATGATTAAATTGGGCAGTAAATATGTTACGTCACAGGAAAAGTAATAACTTACATATCATATATTTTTTTCCAAATTTTAATTTTGAAATAATTCTTTCCTGTCATGGTCTATGCTCATTTTAACACAGTTTAAATTTGTAAACATTTTTATATTGAGTGTTAGTATGGGGTAAAATGTTAACAAATATGATGCCTACCTTATGTTGAGGTGAACATAGAGCATGACATGAAAGAATTATTTCTATTAGGAAAATTTTGAACTTTTATGTTTGAAGCAGACTTACACTACAAGTTCAGATGAATCCAGGATTTTTGAAAAGGGGGATGGGGGGCAAACTATGTAACATTAGGAGTTTGACATGTTAAAAGTCTGCATTTATCAGATATTTAGGTCCATAAGTGCCCCACCCCCTTAAATCTGCCTCTGAAGTTTGCAACTTGCAGCCATTTTTTATATCCAGCATCATTCAAACTACAACTTGGAAGTTTTACTTAAGAATTGAATGCTTCTTTTTGTACATTTATTGGGGTTTTTTTTAGCGTTGACCAAAGTACATTTTGTATGAAGCGCTTCCTTCTAAAAATGTGCGCACTGTCAACGCTTTTACAACCCTATATTGGGTTAATATAAAGATTGATATTGGTGCATCTCAGATTCAATGAAAACAGATACAAGCTAGATAGTTCATATATAGGCCAAACACGTTACACTACTATGTCACAAGTAGCTATATACATTTGAATTTCACCTACCTGGGCGAAATCACATTGGAGATTGAGGAAAAAATGTAAACAGAAAGTACCATTTTTTTTATGATAAAAATAATATCCCTGGAAATACTGACTTAGCTCACCTGACACAAATTCAAAGTTTAGAATAACGGAATGTTAGATTTTCATATTACAAATATACTGCTTTTAGCAACAGGGACTATTGTACATGTTATATTAATCATAAAATAATGTTTAATGAATGTTTTTGTATAAAATTATGTATATACATGTTAATTTGTCTACTATTGTCTTGTTTGTAATTGATATGCCCTTACGGGCCCTTTAATTAGGAAATAAAATGAATTGATTGATTTATTTGATTTATTGTACTTGCCTCTTTGTCCTTTGCTTTCTCCTGTCCATATTTCTAAAAAGTGCGAAGATCAATATAGTTTTCAGAAAATATTGAAGAATCTACTTTCGCTTTTCATCTTAAATTCCGGGCCGTTAATTCCCGCAAAAAAAGAGAAGAGTTATGTCCACTTTAACGTAGCTGCTTTGGGTGTCAAATATTCAGCTAATTATATAATAACTCAAATGTTTGACGATAGATATTTCTTAATTAACGACACTTATTTTTTTTTTGATAATTTAAATTTTAGATGTTTCTGTTGTATATTGAATGAAACTTGGTAAAATACTTTTAAACCAAAAAACTATGTTTTGCAACATGTCCAAAAGGGATGCTCAGAAAACAGAAAAAAACACCCGATCTTCCTAAGGTAGCCTGGCATCCTGACCCAATCTAATACTTCGTCTACTGTCGAGCAGTGAGCCAGGATCCCAGGCTATACCTAAGGGAGCTACCATTTGATTTTTACGGGGGGGGGGGGGGGGAAGATGAAAAATTTTGTCCTGCATTTTTTTTTTAGTTGTAATCTCTGTCCTGCCTTTTTATTTTTCACTCTATTCGGTCCTGCCTTTTTTTCAATGACATAAATTGTCACCCTGCCTTTTTTATTTTTTGCAAAGTTGCTCATCCTGCCTTTTTTTTTACTCAAAACTCCTGTCCTCCCTTTTTTTTCTCTCAAAGAAACCAAGGAACCCAGGGTCCCCATTATGACCGAACATTTGTGCTCTTGGTGGATTATTTTTTCTAAACTGTGTACCCCCTCCCCCCTCCCCCACCAAAACACTTTTTTTTTAATGAAACCCGAAATAATAATAAAAAAAAACACGTTGAGGCTAGATTAAACAGTATTAAATATCCAAACTTTTTTTTATTTTTTAGATGATTTTGATAGTTTTTCTACAAATTAAATTGATAAATTCAACAACATTTACCGTTATCTTGATGATATTTTTCGTTAAATAATCAAGAATTCTCTAAATATACTGCCGAAATTTACCCACAGCAACTTACTTTGAATAAATCAATTATTAAGAGCAATAAGTGTCCTTTCCTAGATTTAGATATTTCAGTTTTACACCAGAAACTCTACACAAAAAATTACGACAAAAGGGATGATTTTTCTTTCCCTATTGTTAATTTTTCTTTTTTTGACGATGATGTTCCTCTGGCACCATCTTACGGTGTTTATATATCCCAACTCGTTCGTTATGCCTGTATCTGTAGTGACGTTTTGGTTTTCAATGCACGTAATCTATGTAATCAGTACTGGTAGATTATTAAGTCAGGGATTTCGTTACCACACATTACTTAAAACCTTTACTAAATTCTTCCATGGATACAAAGATTTGGTTTGCAACTTTAGCTGTACCTGTAAAATAACTTATTTCAGACGGAATAGCATCCTAAATTTTACGGTGATGTTGTTTACCGAGCCCGGGAATTTATATACGATCCGGGTTAACTTATTAATCCTTTAAATAAACTTATTCTAAAAGGTTGCCAATTCAACACTGTAATTAGATCTTTGAATATCGTTTTCATTGGTATACATATTGATTTTGTTATCAGTAAATTAAAATCATACTTATAGTTTTGTTATACACATATGCATTTTTAACGGTACTACAATCTGCATCTCGATCCTTCATTTTGGCATTGCACAAGGTCATGTTTTTCTCTAACTGTTAATGACGTCTTTACACTAAATCCATTGGATGTTGGATGTGTACAGTGGGAAATCTGGTGACAAAATATTACCTCCCCTGTAAATATTGAAAACTAGATCTTCTCAATGTTTGTCCGATTTTAGCAAGGACGCTATCAATTATGGATTCACGGGAAAATGTTCTGGTAAATAGTCAAAATAGAAATAAGTTGAAATAAAAACAAAACTTCCATTCAATGTTATCATTTCCCTCCTTAAGTAGCAAACGACGAGTACAGCAGGGTATAGAAGCTTGATGTAAAATTGGTGTAAAATGTTGCTATGCGAATAAATTCCTGGAGTACCAACTTCAACTTATTTTTCTACTGGCTGTATACATTTCTGGAACATGCTAATTATCCGAATATATATACAGCTAGATCAGAAAAAGTCAGGGAAAAAAATCCAAAGGAATCGATTGATATGCAGCAAAGTTTGGCACTTTTTAAATTATATTATTAAGCAAATTCAAACGGACCTTATCTCGATGTAAACCGTGACAAAACAATTTACGAAAAACAAATAAGACAGACATTAACCAACGACAACCACTGAACTACAGGCTCCTGACTTGGGACAGGCACATAAAGAATGTGGCGGGGTTAAACATGTTTGTGAGCGTTCAACCCCCCTAACCTGGGAAAGTGGTGTTACAACACAACATAAGAACAAACTATAAAAATCAGTTGAAAAGGACTTAACTCATCAGATCGAAACAAAGCAGAAAAAAACATCCAACAAAAACACAGACGGGCCGTGGCAGGGTATTTATACGTCCCTAACAACGAAAAAAGACACAAAGTACAGATATGAGAGTACTCGCAGTTATACTGACAGCGAGTTCAAAGCCAATACCAACTAATAAAAAAATCATGTATCTAAGACTAAAATATTAATCAGTACACATCCAGCATCCAATGGATTTAGCGTAAAATCGTCATTAACAGTCAGAGAAAACATAACCTTGTGCAATGCCAAAATATGGGTATCGACATATTGTAGTACCGTGAAAGTGCATATGTGTATAACAATAACATTTAGTATGGTTTTAATTTACTGATAACAAAATCAATATTTATACCAATAAAAACAATATTCAAAGATCTAATTACAGTGTTGAATTGGTAACCTTTTAGAACAAATTTATTTAAAGGACTGATCATATCTATTAAAATTTCCGGGCTCGGTAAACAACATAACCGTAAAAACTAGGATGTGCTGTTCCGTTTGAAATAAGTTTCCTACATATACAGCCAAACTTAAAATATTTGTATCCATGGAAGAATTTAGAAAAGGTTTTAAGTAATCTGTGGTAACGAAATCCCTGACTTATTAATTTTCTAATAATACATATATAGATTACGCTCATTGTAGTTCAAAACGTCACTACAGACACGCCATAGCGAACGAGTTGGGGTATGTAAACACCGTAAGTCGTGCCAAAGGAACATCATCGTCCAAAAAAGGGAAAATTAACAATAAGGAAAGGAAAATCGTTCTTTTTGTCATAATTTTGTGTGTAGAATTTCTCGTGTACAGCTGAAATATCTAAATTTATCAGTCATTGCTGTAAATACTTGATTTATTTAACGAAAGTTCCTTTGGGTTAATTTCTAAAGTACATTTATAGAATTCTTGATTATTTAACCGGAAAAAATATCATCAAGATAACGGAAAGTGTTGCTGAATTTATCAATTATATGGATTTTAGACGGGTGTTACTGAGTTTTGCCATAAACTGCTTTCATTTGGATTAATTTGACTGGAAATGCTATTTTCTGTTAAATCACACAAGCTTTTTACCTTGTGTAATATTTCAATGTTTTTCTTCGAATTGATAACTTTTTGAAAGACTGAAAACGCATGATCTTTAAAGTTTCTCAAATATCTGAAAAAAGCTCTAATTCGATATTGTAAAAATTCTATGTATTAAAAAATACTTTGTGAAAAAGTAGGAACTGGCAAATCGAAGCTTTTGTTTCATC